TTTTTTTTTTTCCCCCAGTGAATATAATGGGAGGGATTATGATGGCACAAGGACATGGATAACTGTGGCCGAGCTGAGGGGAAAAATGCACTACAAGGACATCTTCATTAATTCTACTTATTATAGAAGCACTTTATACGTCTGGACTCGTTGTTTTCAGATAATTTTATAGTTTCTATAAATGTTGTCCTTTTATTTTCGTATCAGTTCAATTTATACCCAATTATTCCAACGCTTTTGTACAGTGTAAGAAAATAAATTACCTTTTTATTAAAAATGTTAAAAATTTGTTACATAAAATGATATTATAATTTTATTCATTACATGAGTTAATATAATAAGAAATTATGATCTTATTTTTTATAAGAGTACGACAATAGAAAAATTAAAAGAAGAAGAAAAATGGCAATATTTAAATTAAATTCTTTATATTTATTATGTCAAATTTTTCAACATACATAATTATATGTGTCTTATTTTTGAAAAATTATCATTTAATTGTAAGCACACATTTCAAAAATAGGGCGCATAACTATTTGTGATTGAATATTTCGACATAATGAATATAAAAATTTTAGTCCAAGTATTTCTTAAAGAAAAACGTTGGACTATATAATTTATATAATAAAGTATACTCTATTTATAAATTATAAATATTATGGCACATTTTAAGAGTGAATAAATATTAAGCTAAGCGACACACTCTCCGTCCAGCTGACTATAAATAAATAATATTTATTTATAGAATGTCTTAGTTAATGCAGTCGATATATAGTTGAATGTATTCAGAAGTGATGGAGACCCGATATCCAAAGGTTCAAACCTGGATGGGGCCACCTATATTGTGCACTCTTCAATATTCTTCTTCTAATGTCACTTTGGTAACTTTCCATAATCAATTTCTTGAAATAATTTTTTTCTGAATTTGTACACACACACACATCCATCAAGAATCGTCATCTCCATTATAGATATTTTGTGCTTTGATTGTTCTTTCCATCTTTGTGAGAGTTTTGTGTGATGGAAAAATGTGGGCTCCCTTTGGTTCGATCAATCACAAAACTGTAATGCAATACAGTTGAGTTGAATGCATTATTAATTATCATGCACGGACCATTATACTGTGATACACACACACACACACAAATTGTTAAATGAATATGTTGAAATTATGGAATGACATTTTTATCTTCTCAGCAAACAGAAAAAAAGGTCCCTCCTCCATGAGGTGCTGTCGATGTTTTGATGGTGCCAAGGGAGGGGGAGGGATGATGAAAAGGGATCTTGAGGGAAATATGTGTCTTTTTATAGATGCTAAAGTGAGATAAAATCGACCTTTTATTAAAAAAAAAAAATTGGAGACTTTAATCGCCTTTTATAAGAGAAACCATGTGATTTTTTTAAAATTAATGTAATGTGACAGATACTAGCAGCTTGAGATAATAAGTAGAATCGAATTTATAGTTTCTTCACTTATATATAAAACAATTTTCATGACATTAAATTACAAGACTCTTGACAGAGGAACTTATAAGCTAGAATTGCCATATTTTATGTGCAATTAGTATGGCCATTTACCATGCAAATAAGCCAACCAAATACGGCTGCTAATTAGTAATTACTACACTCTCCATAACATATGATTACTAATCGGGTCATATTTATAGGGTACAGAAAGACATTTTTTATATAATAGAAATTTTATCCTTTCTTTTTATTGTGTTGATTTTGTTCTTATGGGATATAATGTATATTCATTCCGGTCCTTGTTATATGCTTCAAATAAGTAATTTACGGATAACAAATAATTAGTTAAAATTAGTCAAAAGCAATGAATAGATTAGAAATATACTTTTGTTCCCAAATATACTTTTATAATAAATGAGAAAAGAATGAAAGAGAATATGTGAGAAAATATAATACGAGAGAAATAATTAAGGGCAACATTAAAAAAAAAGTATTAAATACCATACGTTTCTTCCTAAATTTAAAGTTTATAAATAGGAACAGATGGGGTATTAAAGTGAGATAAAGTTTAAATTGTTAAATTTTAAAAGAGAGATAATAAAATTTAAAATTTTTCTTAATTTATATGAAATACATTAAACGTGACTGGATCATTGGAGTACATTGCTTTAACGGTTTAACTAATTCATTAAGAATGATAGTTAAGTTAACTCATTAAATCTATCGATTTTTTTTTTAAACTTTACCCATATTAACTAAGTTCGTGCAATGGTAGTGTAAAAAAAAATGATGAGTCATATTTAGGAGGTGCTTGGATAGTATCAAAAATGCTTTTGAAAAGTACTTTTTCGTAAATCGAGATAAATTTCTCCATATATTTACTTTATATACTGTAAAAACACTTTTAAAATCATAGTTTTAATTTTATCTAAACACCTTGGGGATATTATGAAAAGAAAAGAATATGTTATCATTCACGCGCGAATCCAATCAAACGGTATCGTAGGCTTTAGCCCTTTAGTTGGGATAAAGGATGTACCCGCAAAGGGAAAAGGAAAAGGATTATCTGCTTCAAATATCTGGGTATCCAATATTTATTATATTTATATCATTATTCACTAATGTAAATAGAATGAATTAATTTCTATAACGTGCATATAGATACAAAGGATGAGCATTATACTTCCATCTCAAATCGCACGCAACATGGACTGCTCATATATTTATATGATATACATTATGATTATCAGCAAATTTGTTTTAATTCATCATTCAAACTTGAAACCTGCCCTGTGATTATACATATATGATCATTAAAAGATCATTTTCAATAAACACATAAATTTAAAGAATGCCCAATTCTTACGTGTTCAAAATTTTGGAGCGCATAGATAAAATAAAAAAATGTACTTTTGAACTGATGTTATATAGTACTCGTAACAAATAGTAAAAGTAAAATGGTAAACAATGATACATGTTTACAGTGTACAGTGTACATTTTGAGAACACCGAGAAGAAAAACACATTCCGTATTCGTAAAAATTTGAATTTTTTTTTTTTGACATTTTAAAGAACACATTGATGATGTGATCAAAGAAAAAAATGGTGTCCACCTGACTTTGTTCTGCTTGGGACCCATCTTTTATTCTCTCTCTCCGAGGGCGTCGCGTTTATAATTAATATTGACACGAGGCACAAGCTTGGTCGAGTAATTAATATGAAAAGAGATTCAACTGCACGCTGTCGCTAATATCACAAGCCTTTATATAAATCAATTTATCAAATTAGTATCAGCAGATGTTAACAGGTTTATAATATATTCTGGTGAAAAAAAAACCACGTTGATAATGCTACATCCGCTTCTAATTATAAAAATTATTTAACTAATTTAAAAAGATTAAAAAAATAAATTAAATTAATTATTTGTAATAAATAGGTGTTGTATTTTCTAAAATATCCTTGTTAATCAAATATGATAGTTAGAATTACCATTATTAGAAGAACTACTTAGAAAAAAATACATAAATAATAAAGACAAAATAGTTTGGGATCTTATATTTAGAATTAAAATAAAAATCAAACAAAATTTTATATTAAGGACAGGAAGTAGTATATCATATTCATAGTATATCTTACATGATACAGTAAATAACAGGACTTTTGAAAAACAAAAAGTCCATAAAAAAGGAGGATGGTTTGCTTTTTGTGTATCCTAATGATATCAAAGCTCTCTTGTAATTTTAAGTAAAATATTACGAATTTAATCTGGTTTGTGACATAATTTATCAGTGTTTATTGTTTTTTTTTTCTTTCAAAAGAATTTTCAAGGTCAGACGTCTCATGTCTCTGAGCTGGGACACCCACACACCCACACACACAACTGTCGACCTCAGCGCCAACCATTCAAATATTTCGAAATGGTTTCATATGAATAGTCATCATCAATATTGAGATTTCAACAACTTACTTTTTTTCTCTCTTCAAAACAGGATTCAAATATTAAAAAAAACAAGTATAATCCTTAAAAGAAAAAAATTAAAATTGTCATCATTACTGGGCACGGCACAGACCTTTAGTTGTTTTATGAAAATAATATTCATCATGCCAATACCCTTCTGTGATTAACAAAATAAGCACTAAACAAAAACAAGAAATAAAGGGGGCCAGCTAGGCCTGGAAGGCTGGAACGCGCTTCCCACGTTTTCTAATTTTTGTTTCATTTGTGTTTCTTATGCCCTGCTTTAATTTTAATTAATCAACCACAAAAACAAACAAAATTGAAATGAGCATTCACAACAAATTTCATACTTGAATAAATGAGACAAGTGAGAGGAGGAAAGGAGAGAAATTTTTTTAATAAACTCAATTTAAAAAATTTTAAAAATGGAGTAAAAAACTTTTAATTAATTTTTATTACTTTTTTATATTACTTTTTTTTAATTAAAATTTCAAAACTTCGCTTCTTTAATTTTTTTTTTAAATAAAGCTCATTAAAACGTACCAAACATTACCGAAAAGCAGATCGGTCCGCGACCTTACAACTTGGCATGTACAACGCCATCGTCTCATACTTGAGCATGACAGTTCAGCAAAGCCGAGTTCACGTGTTCTTTCACTTCTCCCTCTTCATCTGTTCTTTCTTCTTCTCTTTTTTTTTTAAAACCGCAAAACAAGTTTTTTTTTTTTTTGGGGTTCGACCGACGTAAAATATTACGCGTCTTGATGTGGGCCCCATTAATGCTGTCATTTTCGGGCTCTAACAGTTTGACCCAATTCTTCTTGAATGATTTAACAATTGGCCCATGACACGCAATGGAATCGACTAAACTGTTTTTTTGGGTTAGATTCTCTGTTCCGTCGATCGCATGGCCTCTCCAAGGCCCAAAGTGGGGTTTTTTCAGTCCCTAATGTCTGTCTTGGTTAATACAACTGGGCTTGGCCCTCTCTTTATTCCCAAAACAGAAAATTAAAGTACGTATTCACCAGGGGCCCAAAAAAGGAAATTACCCCGGTGACTTCAATTTCAAATATTCCTCTTTTGATTTTCGATTGCGACTGTTAAATTTCACCATTTCCTCAGGCGACAAGTGTTCCCTTTTGTTTTTCTATTTGTCTATGCTTTCTGCGTGTGACTCATTGCCAAAACAAAGCTTGCTTCTGTGATCATCGTGTCTTCAATGAGGTAGGGTTTTGATTGCTGATTCGTTTTCTATTTCTACGAGATCTTTTGAATTCTATTTTCCTAATTGATTTCGAGAAACCTTTCTGCAGATAAACCTTGGCTTTCACGAATTTCATCGAGAAATATTTTTTGTTGATCGTTACTTCCAGAAGGAATCAGAAGAGGACTCATTGAGTTCTTAAGCTCGACGGCGGAGTTTTATCAGGTCAGTCTAACTTCCCGTTATCAAAGGTGGTGGATTTGGGCCTCTAGTTTGGTTTCCGTTCGAAAAGACCATTGTTATGTGTATTATGTATTTTCTGTTTTTCGTTCTCTGTGTGTAATCTCGACTTTTATTGTTAACTCGACTGTGCAAATAGAATTCTAAGGATGCTTTAAGAACGCCACTCTTACATATGGTCTGGGTCTCCGGGATGACTACTTGGTCATGCTTTCCTTGGAAGATTAGCATATAACTGTGTGTTGGAATTTTTTGGCAGCAAGCAACTGTTTCATAAATAGTGTTGTTTGATTGAGATGCTGAGACCAATTGACTTGTTCTTTTTTCCGAACTTCAGTGCATCAAGTTGTCAGTTAAAGTCCAGTTAATGTTTCAGAGAAACCAAAGAGGTTATGGTCCTAGATGTGTCAACTTTGTTATCGCTTTATGTGAATCGAAACATCTGGCTGCACTGAAACGTGACATGGTGGGTGGGAACGAGCGGCCGTGCTATGCATACTTGGCGCAATTTCAGGCTGAGCTGCCGGGTGTTTTGGCTTGCTCATATGTGCTACAAGTCCATAGTGTCACTACTAGCCACTATAAGGCTGACAAAGTTGACACACACACCGCTCCCTTCTTTTTTTCTTTTTTGTTTTAAGTGTTTGTGCTTCATATTGACTTCTATCTGGCAAATTCAAACTGTGCAATTATGGCTAACCCATTAGTTTATATATTTAATAGAGTTGAGGTCACGGGGTTGCAGTTATCTGAATTTGGAAAGCCTTGACATCTCCCTTGCTTCGTGTCTGTTTCCAGTTTGGTTACTTTTATGATTATCTTGAAGCTTCTTTGATGTGCGTGCATAAGTGTTGGTACAAGAGTCTAGATGTTTTATCTCAATCCAGAACTGAAGCAAAGTCAGACTGAATAATAGGTTCGGTTCAGTTTTCAAGTTCATTACAAGCTTAGTTGGCTAGTGCGTTTTAACGGTTGCATATCTTCCTTCTAGGTTTGAGTCCTTCTTCCCAACCGATTTATTACTCAACGCATCGTATTAAGCATCTCATTATATACTTTCGTCTAAAAGAGAAAAAAGAAAGTATCTTATTATATTCTTTGCTACATTCCCCCCCTCCCCGGTTTCCTTCAAGTCCTTATCATGATACTTCACCTGATGAGCAGAGGGATTCTGTTTTCTTTATTTCTATTAAGCCAGTCAAAGAAAACTTGTAATACTTCATCTGCCATACAAAAAATTATTTAAGTATTTTGGGTTCAGCACTTAACCAACATGCCTGTAGTACCCACATCAAATATGTTTGCCTGTCTCTTTATGCTTGGTTAGTTTTGTACTTGGATTTGAAGCATGGAGACCGGAACAGTCCGCAACATGGGCGCCGTTGCACTGAGAAATCTAAAATTCCATTTGAATTGATGTTTGTAACAGATTTAATGAGGGTTTTTGCCGTGCATTGGACACAAACGATGCTTTTTTTTTTTTTTTTGGGGGGGGGGGGCGCTTTGCTAGATGTCTACATTTTCATTACGTAAAACAAGGTGGAAGTTATCGTGGGGACGATCCCTTCCTGGCCTTAGTGGTGTATGAAGGTGGGGTCACTCTAGAAGGCAGAAGCTTCACTATTGTGATATAATCTGTTATGGTCATAACCTGTATTCAGTTTGTTCTGTTTGCAGTGAAGCAAAATAGCAGTCCGACATCACAGGTTCTGACCATGAATGCTTTCCCCTTCTAGATTTCTTGTGGGGACGTATTTTAATTTCTTGTTTGCTCTAGTTCCATCTAGTTACAGCTTATGGAATTGATTTACAGGGAGTATGTGTGTTCCAAAGACATGTTTTTTAGAATTTGTAAAACAACAAACTCGATTGCTCCTTGCCTTCGTCGTGCATTGTTTGTACTTAGACTGGCCAGTAGGTATATATTCATTATCTTACTCTTTTTTCGCTCTGAGTTATACTTATGTGAACAGAATTGCATTTCTTCAGGCTCATCGGATTCTCAATTGGGCTTTCATTCATAAATTCCGCGGCTTGTGGATTATTCCAACTTGAATATGAGCAATTCATACCCTGAAGATCACGTAAGTGGTTCGTCGTTGCTGGTTGCTTAATGCCTATTACATCAACTTCTTGTCAGTAGTAGGTATAAAGATGTAATGAACTACCTGCGCAGGAAGAAGTAACTGTTGCGGGATTTGAAGTTCCGAAGTCTCCCGGTTCCAGTTATAACAGCGTGTATCCTTTAAATGAAGATGACGCTCGTGATCCCCCCACTGTACCTCCGCATTTGCAGCATACCTTGCTCAATTGTCCTGCTAGTAGAAGCAATTCAGAGACTCTTCCACTGCCTCATGACGTGATTCTCAATCATCTTTATATTGAGAACCGAGAGGCTCCAAGATCTGTGGTGGCATTAGGACTTACTCATCGCTTCCGATCAAAATATGTTACTGTTGTGCTTTACAAACCAGTCCAAAGAGGCAGTACTACAAGCGTGTAATTTCCATATGAAAAACTTTCTTCCTTTGAACAGTTCGCCAGGATTCGGCTGAAAGATCAGATTTGTATAGGAAATTATATATTTATTGCTCGCACTCTAATTTCTGTTAACTATGCATGTTCCTTTTAATGTTATGCTGCAAATTTCAGCTGCGGCGGTCCAAAATTTTTTTAACTAGAATAAATTAGAACTAGAAAATAAAAAAGAATATTAATTTAAATTTGTATGAATATTAGTATAAATAAATAAAAATAGCAAATAATTCGAAAATAATTCAAAGTTAAATTTGATTTTTTAATTATTATGAATAATAAAAATCAATAAATAATTAAAAAAAAGAGATTGGATTTCGATATAAAACTGTATTTTTTTGAAGAGAGAATCCAAAGTGAGGTGAAAATGCAAGAGTTTTTTTTGTGCTCCAAAAAATATATATGGTTATATTTCTATCTGGAAATGAGATATGTACCACAGGAAATAAACGAAACTCAGCACTGAAAACCATCTTTACATTGGATGGTTTTGTGTTTTGATGATCCTACCTTATTAACCCTAACTTTTGTATTTATTATCACTTTCATTGCTGCCCCTCTAGATGGTATTCGTGAGCTTGTTTCTGAATCTCTATTTTATAGAAATAATATTATTTCTGGTGCCATTATTCCTATTTCCACAGCTATAGGTTTGCACTTTCATCTGATATGGGAAGCAGCATCCGTTGATGAATCGTTATGAACTAATTGTTTTGTACTTCTTACTTGGTGTAGCTTGTTACATGAGTTGTGAGTGGGAACTTAATTTTTGTCTAGGTATGCGCCCTTGGATTGCTATTGCATATTTAGCTCCTATTACAGTTGTTACTGCTATTTTCTTGACCTGTCCAATTGGCCTATTTCAGGGGGAGAATTACATAGGAGTAAATTTACAAATTAATTATCAAACAAATCTTTAATAATTTCAAAGTCGGGCTGGACATTGAATCAGAAAAGTAAGTGCTTCATGGTTCTTATGGTCTAATTGGTTGGATCACGGTTAGGGGTGGAAGTAGGCTAGGCTCTTATCAGGGGTCTACGGTCTAGCCTACTTTAAGCCTAGCCTAACCTATTTAGTAAATAGGCCAGGCTCAGGCTTAGGCCTATTGCAAGGCCTATTTAGATAAACAGGCCAGACCTGTTTTTATAAGACCTAGCCTATAAGCCTACAGGTTTGGCCTATTTAACTTTTTTTTTAATTTACACTATTATATAATATAATCTAGATTAATTTTATAAATTATTTATAAAATTACTAACTTAGCCATAATCCTAAGTCTCACATCCCATCATTCACACATAAACGCAACCCTTTTATCAATCAATCTTTCACCTCTACATTTCTTTTCTTTGATCACTCAAGATGACTACGTTAGCTTACTCCCTCTCTTCTGACTTACATTGTTCACTGAAGCATAATAATTGTAGTAAGTTTGTTTTTTTTTTTTTTTTGATAACAAAAGGAGACCTTAGCTAACACCTACGTGATTGCCGTTATTAAGAGAGCAATCTGTATCCAAAAGTTCAGCCAGTACATGATGTGGTTCATAGACCATGTGAAATCCCAGCAAACCTCCTAGACCGAGCTTCGCCAGATGATCAGCCGCAGCGTTGCATGCTCGAGGTGTGTGTGATAGTCGAACCTCCCAATTTCTATCCATGAGGGACTTAATCGCACAGATGAGAGTATAGTCCGCATGGCTCTCCTCGGATTCAGTAGATAAGAGCTCTATTACTGTCGAGGCATCTGATTCTAAGATAATTCTTCGGTGTCCATCATCCCATGCAACTTTGAGTCCATGCAGACAGCTCCACAACTCAGCCGAAAGAGCATCTCCATTGTCCATCCGACAGACAAAGCCTTTGAGGAACTCGCCCTTTTCATTTCGTAATAACCCTCCACAAGCATTAGAGTGCATCGAGTGAGAAAAGGCACCATCTACATTTACCTTGATCCAACTAGCTTCAGGTGGTTTCCAGTTTGTTGTAACAGCTCCACGTTGCACTCCTGGTATGTGAGCCCCCTTCAAGAGAACCTGCATCTCACGTATGCCCATTACTATTGCTGAAGCGTTCGCTATGAGTACATCATTATGAAGCTTTTTCCCTTCAAAGATGATCAGGTTACGGCGTCGCCATATCCACCAACACAATACAGAGAATAGGCTCCCCCACTCCATGTTTTTTCCGTCTTTTCTAGTAATATTCCACCGGACCCAATCAGGAAAATCTAACGTACAGAACTTCTTCCATGCAGTAGGGTGAACTAGTTTTTTCCAAAGCGCTCGTGTGTCATTGCACTCTCGCAGCACGTGTAGCAGGTCTTCCACCTCCTTCTTACAAACTGGGCACCTGTCATCATTACTCAGTCCTCGTTTCTTCCGAGCTGCATTAGTGAGGAGAGCTTTACGAGATGCTAGCCAAGTAAAAGTTCTGCACCGTTGGGGTATTCGTAGTTTCCATATTCGCCCCCAAGAAGCATCACTCGTTGTATCACTTCGGCTGATCAATTGATCATAAGCAGATTTCACAGTGAAATTACCACTACGCTCCCACTTCCATCGTATGCTAGGATTCCTCGCAGTACTGTCAATACCCTCCTCAACCTTATCCCATATCTTCTTGATGCCCGACCAGATGTTCGATCCCCTCCGCTTATAGTCAATGGTTGGCATTAGGTCATTTCCACATCTATACTTATCACGAACGATTTTAACCCATAGATCGTCACGACATTTCGCGAGTTTCCATCCTAGTTTCATGAGCATTGCGTGGTTCTGGAGGGTGGCATGCCTCAGTCCTAGGCCACCACTTGTCTTACTTCTACAGACTGAATCCCAGGCGACCAAGGAAGTCTTCCTCTTGTCAGGTGTACTCCCCCACAGAAATCCTCGATTAAGTTTATCAAGAGTTTCACAAACTGAAGGTGGCAGCAGTGTTGTTTGCATGACATAGTTGGGGATAGCGGCAGTCACGGAGGAAATCAGTGTTGATCGCCCTGCTAACGAGATGGAATTAACTTTCCATTTTGATAATCTCTCTTTGACCTTGTCCACAGTTGCTTGAAAAGTCTCCTTGGTGGCCTTTTTGTGATGCAAGGGGACACCCAAATATTTACCCAGATTAGATGTTTGAGTAAATCCCAAGGACCTGCTAATCTCAGAGCACCTCGTATGATTAATGTTAGAAGAGAAGCATATGTGGGTTTTAGCGAGATTGACCTTTAGACCTGAACTCCAGCAGAAAGATTGGAGACAATTATTTATCAGTTCAGCTTGTTGTAGAGAAGCTTCCGCAAACAGAAGGATATCATCCGCAAAGAATAAGTGAGAAAGTGGGGGGCCATTTTTTGTAAGCCTGATTGGTTTCCACTCTCCCCGCTCCACCCTTTCTTGAATCATATGAGCTAATTTCTCCATACAAATGACGAATAAGTAAGGGGAGATTGGGTCTCCTTGACGTACTCCTCTAGAAGATTTGAAGGACTCCGCTTTGCTTCCATTCCAAAGGAGTTGTAAGTCAGCCGTGGTAACACACGACTTAATAACTTCCATAAAATGTTCTGGTAAATTCAATTCAGTCAAGCAATTCTTCATGAAATTCCAATTAACTCGGTCATAAGCTTTTTCCAGATCAATCTTAATTGCCAAAAAACCTTTCTTCCCACGCATGGTGCGCATAGAATGAATGACCTCCTGTGCAATAATAATATTATCAGAACTGTGACGCCCCGGGACAAATCCACACTGATTAGGGGAGATGATTTGATGCATAAAATTTTTCAATCTATTTGCTAGTATCTTCGTCACCACCTTATAGACCACATTACATAGGCTTATAGGGCGGAGGTCTCTGAAGTTCTCAGGTGGATCTTTTTTAGGGATAAGTACAATCAGCGTTCCGTTCACCTCTTCAATAGATTGGGGGTTTGCAAAAAGACTCTTGACAAACCTTAAGAACATAGGGCCGACAGTATCCCATTGATGTTGAAAGAATAACGCATTAAATCCATCTGGTCCTGGAGATTTTAGGGGCCCCATACTAAATAAAGCATTTTTTATTTCATCGTCCTCAACATCTCGGGCACAACATCTCAGATATACATCATCCACGGGCGGGTAGGAAATTCCGCACGAGATACTTTCTCTAATCATGTTGTCTTCTTTGAAAAGGGAGGAGAAAAACAACGTTGCCTCTTGTTTTATTTCTTCAATATTATAGCACCAATTGCCCTCTTCAAGGCAAATAGCATCTATTCGGTTGGCCTTTCTCCGTCCGTTGGCATAACAATGAAAAAGCTTGGTGTTCCTGTCTCCATATATATTCCAATCTAGTCTCGCTTTTTGAGCCCACAAAAGGGACTCTTGAGCAAGGACGCCTTCAAGTTCCTTCCAGAGCTCAGTTTGTAGTTCCTCATAATAGCTTGTGTTAGAGCCACGAGCAAGAGCCTTATTCACCCCATCAAGTCTTTTCAATAGTTTAGTTTTCCGCCCTTGGATATGCCCAAATACATCTCTATTCCACCCTCTACAAGCTTCGGTGAATTGTGTGATATTAGGCTTCCAATCCATCTCATTCTTCCATGCTTCTTTAACAAAATCATTAAACTTATCATGTAAGACCCATGACGCAATGAAGCGGAACGGCCGCTGAGGTTGTTCCCTACACAGATCAAGACGAAGTAGAATGGGGCGATGGTCAGATTTATAGCAAGGGAGATGGGTTACCTTTGCATGAGGGAAAAGTCGACACCAGTCATCATTAGCTAAGTAACGATCCAAGCGAGCTTCTGTGGTTCCTCGTTTCCAAGTAAATTGTGGCCCACTGAAGCCCAAATCCTCCACACTGCTATCTTCGTACCAATTATAGAAGTCTCGATCAGCCGAGATTTTGTTAATAGCAGAAGACTTCCTTTCAGACGCAAATAACGTTGCATTGAAGTCACCCCCAAGAATCCATGGGGCCTGTGTGGCGCTCTCAAGTCGTTGCAATTCACTCCAGAGGCTGCGTCTTGCCATAATATTAGGACAAGCATAGATAATAGTCATAACCCAAACTTCATGGCGGCTGTTTTCTAATTTCAAGTGCATGAATTGTCGGTG